GAGTCACAAAGAGAGAGAGAGAGAGAGAGTCACAAAGAGAGAGAGAGAGAGAGAGAGTCACAATGGCATATGGGGGGACAACCATAAAACCCATGCATGCGCAATTGAGCGGTCCCTTCCCAAAACTCACCTCTTTCCTCAGTACATTTTGATCTAAAAAACTCGTTTCCTTTGTTTTCACTCCCCTATCTCTTTAATAATAATTATCTCTCCATACCTTTCACTGGTCTCTAAATAAATAAATAAATAATATTAAGTTGTGATCATCAAAACACTACTCTTTATATATATGGTCATCTTGATATATATCATAAGCTTGCTATAGCTGACCTTCTTTATTCTTTTTCCTTGTGATTTTAGCGGCAGCCTGCACGTAAATACAGCAGCCGCAGGTGAGTTTGTGCAGTAAATAATATTCAAATAACAGATCATGAATGCATGGTTTTTCATTATAATCATGGTGCACATGATGAATATTGAGGGTTAATTGTAGTATTTTCTCAATCCTCGTTAAGTTTATTGTTTCTTCTGCTGGCTTGATGTTGTGTAGTCATCTTTAGACAGATATATACTTATTAATGTATATATATATATACTCTTATCCAGTTTCGCTATGGACCCATCTGATGACTCGACTTATGGAGTCATCCATACTTATTCATCAATAATGTATTGACACGTGTCCTATAATAAATAATTAAATACAAATTGGACAGGTGTCAACACATTAAGTGGTAGATGGCTCCATAAGAAAACTATCCAATGTACCGTAAAATTTTTGTACTCTTATATACATGCATACATGTAAATATATATATTTACATATATATGTTAAATGCAGACAGAATGGACACATCAACCTGTAAAATTTTTTCTTTCTTATTACCAAAAATATGTTATTTCCTTTTTTAATTTCTGCACACTTTCTTTTACTCCATTTTTCTAATTTGGTTCCGGACAACCGGCGTGCTCTCTTGATGACGTCACTCAACGTTTCACTTTTTCACAATAAAGAACAAATCAAATTATTATTCAATTTCTGTTCTTTAAATAACAAGCTACGTACATTCTTTTTATTTTGCTTTAATGTAATATAACAACTCTCACTAATCCATTCACTTAAAAAAAAAAAATTGTATTTTAGTTATTTTAAAAGTTTTTTTTTTTCTACAATTTTACTGTTTCTTAAAAAAGAAATCTAGAGTTAAAAAATTGATTTCAATATCCTACAATTTCTTAAGAAATAATATAAATAATCACGATAATGTAGGAACATATATATTTTAAATAATTATGAAAAAAAACATTTGAAAAATATGAATTTAGGTGCAGTATTTAGAACTAGTACAACACCCGTGTATTACATGTGTGCTTGTTAAAAAAATATTTTTAAATTTTAAAATTAATTAGAAAAAAGTGTTTAATAATTTAAATATTTTTTTAACAAAAGATATATATTATTATATATTTTAAAATGACACTTGTTACTTGAGCGACTTAGATGTGTTATATTATAATAATTTTCTAACTTAAATCATATAACTACTTTAAATATAAATATATTAATCGATAAGTAATTTTATTTTTCTAATATTAATAAATATTTTATTACTATAAAATGATAAATATAATTTATTTATTTTATAAATACAATATAAGTGTCAAACCGAAGATCATCACGAGATGATTAATTTCATATATTGTATATGTAAAAAAATTATTAACTATTAAAATATATGTAATTTAATAGTTATAATATGAAATGATATTAAAATGAAACTAATACATGTAACATGGTCATAAATAATCAACATATTTATGTACAATATGAAATCTAATTAATTTAGAAGTTAGAGTAAATTAAAATTTATCCAAACCAAATAATGAAACATAGAATTTTTCCACATAGGATCTCGAAGCATGCGAGATTGCTACTTAGGCTCAACACATTTAGTAATTATATATAATGGCATGAGATTATTGGAAAGGATTTTTAAACTTTTGGTAAAGAAATGGAACAGTTTTTGTTCAAAAAGTGCACCAAAATAGTATAAATGTTTGAAAAAGGCATAAGGGTGTGTTTGTTTAAGGAATAATTAGTGTGTATCCCGTGCGATGCCCAACTGGCTTGTTTTTTAAAATATTTTTTAAAACTTTATTTTAAGAATATGTTAGCTTGATAACAGTTTATATTAATAAAAACTATTTTAACATCTATGTTTATTCTTTGACATAGATAAAATAATATTTTTACTTATTTTTGTTCATTATAAAACTTCACTATTATTTTTAAAAAAACTTATTGTCGTATAAAATTATTATTATTATTATTCATTGTTATTATTATTATTATTATCAGCATTTATAAAAGTTTAACTCTATATATATAATGATAAATACTTAATATAACATTAATATTATTTAGTTATGTAAATAATTTAAAAATATTTAAACAATTTCAAAATAAATATTGTGTACATATATGCATTCTATTAATTTTTAAAATTTGTTTTATTTCATAATAATATTTATTTAGTTATTATTATTAACTTATTTATAGATATATTTTTGTAAAGCATGATATGTAATCATAAAGGTTTTAGTTAAAAAGTATATATTTTATTGTTAAATCATCGTGCACAAAATAAAAATGTGAAGGATTGACATATTATTTTATTATAATTACTTATACATAGAATAATTTTTTTTTAGGAATGTGTGAAAACTTAACTAACTGACGAAATATTTTATTTCAAAAAAATATAAATATTATAATCATATAATTTATTTGCTTTTTTTTTTCCGGAACGATAGAGATTATATATAATAGCACCAAAGTGCAAAAGGAACAAATTACAAGGCCCCAACGGGGTAATCTAAGGCCCCAACAGGGTAATAGGACAGGGGCCAACGGCCCAAATTATTAAATCTGTAACTTCAGATTCTATCTTTTTTATTTATTAAAGTGATTCTAAATTTTGGAAACATTGATGAATATTTTA